ATTGGATCCAGACTCGACTTTTGGGCTTCAGACATTACGACGAGGGATTATTTGGGACTTGTGACAAAGACTTGGTGTTGACGACATTCCCATCTCTCCCCCTCTCTTCGTCTGATTCCCTCCTCTTCGTCTATGTATGTCTGGACTTGGCGCTTTCTTCCTGTGTACAACGCCAGGCTCCTTCACACTTTGTGATGGACACGATGTATGTTTGGTCTGCGTTCAAACATTGATTGGGCTAGTCATTAGCATTCTAGCATTCTGCTTCGCTATCTTATACTACGTGAATAAGGTCAGTCCCAGTCAGGTCAGAATTTGTATCTAAGTCTTCCCTGCGCTATTCAACACCATTTTGTATGTATTGGAATGTTCATTGCTTGTTGAAATTCTACTTGCACTGCATTGTCCATTCAGTCCTTTTCATCACATTGCGGATCCTCGGTTATTATGTACATCGCCCAACTGGGCATGTAACAGTTGGTATTGGAGCGCCGCACGTGAATCAGGATAACCTGATCTGACACGTGTGCGGGGACTAGGTAGCTGATTAGTCTTTATTGATTGATTAGAGCACACTAGTTAGCCCCCAAAATCACGATTTTGACCTTACTGCCGAAAATCGATTTTTTTTTTCTTTTCTTGGATTTTGTTTTCTCGCTATTCTGTTGTGGAAAATAGCAATAGCGCAATATCTGAAATTTCCATTTTCGTTTTTCTTCTGAAAATTCGAAATTTCGTTGTTGAAAATCCAGAATATCCTTCTTTTCGAAAATTTTGATTTCCTGTTGCATTTCCCGTTACTTAGAAATTCGGAATATCTTCTTTTTCGAAATTCGTTTTTTCTGAAAACGGTACGGGAAATCCTCCTGCAGGTATTATTTTCCAAACTGCGAATACTCTCATCTGAGTAAATCCGAATACTTGTCTGAGTCTTGTCATTTCTTTTCGGAAACTTTTTTTTTTCCGCAGTTCTAGGATTCTGTTAGTCAGTTATATAAATCATTTGTAGTCTGAAGTTCAAAATTTTTTTCTCATTGATCATTTCGCACTTCAAGGGAGGTTGGGAGACCTACTGAACTTGCCAAACTCAGGATTTTTATTATTTTGAATTTTTTTTTTTTTTTTTGCAGAGTTCAAACTTTTCTTTTTGATTAGTGGCTCCTTATCTGGGCGATTATCCCACCCACCCCTCCCCACCTATGTTGTGACCACCTCTGGTCTCACCTTCTCTATCTGTCTCCGGGTACCCCCTGCGGCGGCATTAGTGAGTTGCCACGTCAGCAGGCCACGTCAGCAGGCCACATCAGCAGACCACGTGAACAGACCACGTCAGCAGGCCATGTCAGCAGGACACAACAGCCGAACAGTGCCACATCAGCAGCAGGGAGTGCCACAACAGCAGTCCTCCGGCTTGATCAATGCTCACGCGCTTACAAACAACCGGCATGGATCAGAAGTCTGGGGAAACGGACGAGGCCTATCAGGCGCGAGCAGAGACCAGCATTGGCCAAGAGTGGCCGTGGTCGCGGCGGCAACGCCGTTTGACCAAACTAGCGCGGTCGTGTCTGCCAATGAAGGGGACAGACTCGCAGCCGCCCGGGAAGGTGACCGCCCCGGCAGAGGTCGAGGACGCGGCAAGGCGAAGAGAAACACCGCATCTAGCCCCGGGCCCGGCGCAGCAGCTCCAGCCCCATGGTCCCAATACAGCATCTCCGAGCAAGCATTCAAGGCGCGCACGAGATTCCACTATTGCCTATGGTGCAACGGCGATTTCCATGAGACACTGGCCTGCCCGTTGAAAGGCAAGGGCAAACAGGGAAACTGAGCACCGCCGAGAGTGACTCGACGACACTCTCGACACCTCCGGAACCGGTCTCTTCGCGAGTGACCGGCCTTCATTCTGAGGCGCATGCGGAAGTCGATAGTCCTCCTCTTCTGTATTCTTTTGAGGACTATGCTGCCCGGCTCGTTCCCTGGGTACTCAAGCTCAAGGACAAGACGTGTGTGCGGCATCTTCTCCGTCCGGCAGCGGCGACTTATCATCTTCAAGTGGTTCTTCACGGGATTCGGCGCGCGAGTTCAACATAGAGGTATTGGACCCGCTCACGTCCAAGGACTTTGCATGGCTTCCTCCCGACCATGGGCCGCTTGCCGAGACCGCAATGCACAGCACTATGTGCTCATCTCCACACATACTTATCCTTCTATGCACCACCAACTTCGTCGACGGATGACGAAGTCACGGTGGGGGACATCCTTGCGTATGTTACCAAGGTGGCCCGCGAATTCGCACGTAGCGGTACGATGACAACAACGCACCGCTCCTTTATGTCCGCATCCAAATTGGGCAAGCGTCTTGTAGTGCTTTGCTGGATAGCGGAGCGACTCACAATTTCATGAGCCAAGCCTTTATGCAAACGGCTGGCCTTTGCGCACAAGTTCGGAGGAAGGCAAACCCGACGGCGATCAAGTTGGCGGACGAAAGGACGCAACAACTTATCAACCGTTACTTCGAGGCCGCACCGGGATATTTCGCACCTCATGCATGCGAACCGGTGACGTTCAACATTTAGGACACGGACTTCGATATCATTTCGGGAACGCTTTGGCTTGCAAGTGCGGATCACACGGTCAAACTTCCACCGACGGACTCTTAACGTTCGCGACGCCTTCGGTGCCGAAGTACCGTGTGCTATTCCTCTACCGCACCCTTCGATTCGGTGCCAAGTGGTGACGGCCAAGTCAATTCTTCCCCCAAGGCCTCGTCTTTGGACCCCCGTGTGGTGCGGTTGCTTGACAAGTTCACTGACATCTTCCGGTGTGGTGCCGGATCGGCCGATCTCTCACGAGATCATTCTTGAGGCCGGTGTCGTGCCGCCGAAAGGCTGCATTTACCGCAGCTACGACAGCAGACCGACCGAATACTTGGTACATTGTGTACTGATGCAAGGCAAGCCGATATCTTCGGCTCCACGTCGCACCCGCGACCAGGTTCCACCATCAGATTGTCAGCTTCGCCCTCGACCCGACTTGACTTCATAAGCAGGGGGGGGTGTTACATGTTGCGCCTGCAACAGGCTGCACGGGCCATTTTCAGGCCCGTGTCGTTTTCAGCCCGAAAGCCTGAAAACGAGGGCCTACAGGCCCTGTGTCGTTTTCGGCCTAAAAGCCTGAAAACAAGGGTCTACAGGCCCTGTGTCGTTTCAGCCTGAAAGCCTGAAAACAAGGGCCTACAGGCCCTGTGTCGTTTCAGGCTAAATCAGGGCCTTTCCGACCCTGAGTATTTTCAGCTTGAAACGGAGGGCCATTTTCAGGCCCTCATCAATTCGACCTTCCCTGAAACTCAGGCACCAGACCAGGGTTTTAGCTCAGGCCATTTTTGGCCTATTTTCAAGACAACCTTTGTTTGAGCTTCAACCCCAGGGTCTGGCACGTTTTGGCATTGGCAAGAGCAGCCTCGTGGACGGGTCAGCACTATATAAGACTGGCCCGCCCTGCAGGCTGCAGGTAGTTGGGAGGCCGCTCCTAGGTACTTCCCAGACACTTCACGTGCAAGGCAGGAGGCAGTCAGTAGTCTTCAGGATTCGGCAGCAGCACTCTGGAGGGAGCGCTGCAGGAGAAGTAGTAGCGTTAGCATTAGTCTTCAGCGCTGGGCGCAGTAGGTAGTTGTGCTTTTCAGCGCTGGGCGCCATAGCTAG